AAATATTAATATACAAAAATGTATTGTATTGTTACTAAATCTTTCAGCAATTCTCCATTACATGGTTCCGTGTTGAAAATTGTATATGCATAAAATATGCTGCCATGTGGATATTGCCTTAGCAACCTTAGCATTAGATTGGCATTCCAAGTTTAGCGTTTGGGTCAAGAGAAACTATAAAAGGTTTTGGGTTGATTCATTTTTTTTACGTAATTTCTCAATTTACGTAATTACGTACATTTTTTCAAAAATCTAGATAAACACAATCCATGTTTTACAAATAAAACAGTTAATACAGGTAAATCGTCCCACAGCACTATGGGTTAGCTAAAGAGCAGCACAGTACAAACAGCCTGCATTGAGCCACGGTTGGTCTGGTTGATACTTCTGGATGAAGCAATCTAATAAGGAAAAGTCACTGCTCTGACTCTTATCTGTATGTGTTTTTAGATTGAGGTACTGAGGTCTGTAAAGAACAAGCTTTTCACAGCAGGTGGAAAGTAGCCAGAAAAGAGGAAAACATGAAAAGGAGCCCAAAACTCCAACTGGCTAAATCATTTCAATATACACCATTTCATATTTACCCAGGAAAACAAAATGTGCTCACAATAGAGATATTACCCTTTTCTATGACCGGATGTCCATTGTCACTGGGACTGAAAATGAGGAAATATCCAATATTTTGAGTTTACACCAGTCACCAGAATAGGAACACCTCCAACGTGTGGAACACCTCCAATGGGGACACCTGTTCCGGTGACATTTGTCCATGAGCGGGATCTACCGGGATTTCATCTCACTTCCTGTTTTTGCCTACAGGAGGAGAGGTAGTCAAAGGAAATGTCAGGATTGTGACACAGATGGTGAAAAAACCCCCCACCTGAAAAGGGGTTTTAATAATTCCCTACAAAATAAAGAAAAAAAAGTTTTTTTGCATTCCTCAGGACAGACATTGGCAGCATTAAGCAGACAGTTTTTCTCTATCATCTTTCGTCCTCTGTCCAAACCTGAATTATTATTATTATTTTTTTTGGAGAGGGGGGGGGCTATGCATACACTTTAAGGGTTCCACTTATAAATCTTTTCAAACAAGATTCACCCAGGATTCAAATGTTTTATAATGTAAGTTTATAGGAAAAATGTGTAAATTCTTTGGAGGGAGCTTCTTTATAGCTATGTACATTTTGGTGTGGTGGTCATTAGGGGAACTCAGGGAATTTGCAATGATGGTGCCGAAAGCCATGTCCTAAGAACTAATGAGCTGGAAAATAAGGGATGTCATGATATACCGATAGAGCTAGTAGCAGCTAGTTACATTCAACTAGACTTGTTCTGTAATGTATCTGTGCCACTTCTTCAGTTCTAATGAGTGGTAGAAACTTCCCCCAGCTTTTGTCCACACAGGTAGCACAGACACTTGAGTCCAATCACCATGAAATGTGACAAAGTATTTGTTGACTGTGCAAAATATACATTCTGAGTTATGTTCCTGACACTCATTAGGACTGAAGAAGTGACTTGGAGAAGCTACAAATTGTCTTCAACATTACAGAACAAGTCCAGTTACATGCGACTAACCATTAATAGCGATACCATGACATGGATAAGTTTCTGAGAACCTTCACAGAGATATGATGGGACAGTACAGAGTATTGTAGATTGTTCTGGAGTCAAGAGATTCAATATCCTTCTTCTATCAGCTCCCTAAACGTATGGACATGTGGTAGCGATGGGGCTTATTTACAAAGAGTTGGATCTCTGGGTTGCATTTGCCCAATCTAAAAAAACGATTTGCCATCAGTTGCTGAATATTCACCTATTCTGAGCCCCTAACATCGAATTCTTGCCAAAAAGTGTCCAGTAACTTTCACCACCATTCGGAAGTGGCCTTAGTTAAAGACACATCACTTAGAGGAACTTCACCCTTATTTTAAAAATGGCAACAAAAGGCACCTTTAGAAATGTTTAGTAATCACAATCTACAGACAGATACTTCTAGATAGTTGCCGTCTTTTTATTCTGTGAATACCTTATTTTTTTTCTTTTCCTACCCATTCTTCTCACAGCGGACATTTTTACTAAGGGCAGATGAATCCATCTCCCTTTACCTTCTGGAACTCTTGGTGTGCCTCCTGGAACATGTATAGATGTGTAGAAGGAAAGAGGCTCTAGTGTTTCTAGAGTCACACAATATGGATGTTCAGGATATTTAGAACATTCTTGATGGAGGCCCACAGACAGGGACCTCCCAAGCAGATAGACGTCTCTGCAGAGGAGACAGTGTTTGGCCAAACACTCTTGCAGACACTTCAATCTAATGTATAATCTGTAAACTATAATTACTCTCTAGGAGTCCAAACACTCTTGCCGGGGAACCAAGTGACAATTTATGAAGCCCTGGTGAAGGGGGATATTGTGGACTACCGAAACGCAGTGCCCATTTTATCACATCTATCCTTTTAAATTAACTATTGCTCTGGACTTCATCACTTGTGGTGGATTTGTTTGATCCTGGAACATGTGACAATGCATAGTATCTGAAGGGGGGCGGATGTCTTTCCCCTGAGATCCTGTTTACAGATGATATTTCCAGGACAGCACTGGTGATGTAGCCTTCCCTGGATGCATTTGTGAGGCCAGGGCTACATCACCAGTGCCTCACTCAACTTGGATGTAGAAAAACAATAAGGAATGGAAGATGATTTCATATCGCCATGCAGAGCTGCATGCTAATGTGCTTTTTTTTTTTTACTGAAAATGGGGTGAATGTCCACTTTAACATTCACCATTAGTAGGTGGATCCAAGGATGCTGCTAATTGCTCATAGAGATTCACATGTACATGATAAACAAGGCTCGACATGGCCATCTTTTATAACTATATCACACTGTTCTCAGTTCGCTGGCGGTTTAAATGGCTCCGTATTGCAACACATAATTGCCACTTGCTCAGCTCTACCCAAATCAATTATTTACATCGCGCTCCCCGCCTGCATAAATCTTATTTCATGGATAAATCTTATTTCATGTTGTTTTTATTTTCTGCAAAACCGCTGGTATTTAGAATGCCACCTACAGGGTCTCGCTAGAAAAATATAAATTCATTTTAAAATCAAGCCCACATAAAAAGGCCATTAGGAGAAACCCATTTAACAATTACTTTGGCGACATTGTTATAAGTAGGTTCTACGCTTGTTTCCTAATTCAGGAAATCGATTTCCAAGTAGAATTACTGCTGGCTCGCTCTAGTCTCTCACAAACAAAGAGCTTGTTGCATTAAAGGGCCAGGATTTGTGTCACAACAATCCCTTTTCAAACTGGTCTTGGAAGCTTGAATCAAGACTGGTGAGAATAAATATATATAAGAAAGTTGCACAGTAACACACTTCCTGTTCTAGAGTGACAACAAGCTCTCACTGCATTGTATCTATCAAGGAACAGCATGGTCTCAGTAGGACAGTAAGGCCTGGTTCACACCTGGGCGTTTTACAGCGCGTTCCTACTAGAGGTGCACCGAAATTAGCGCTCTCGTCCTGCAGCGCTCGGCCGGCTGTCACCTTCTTTTCTCCCCGCTGGAACAGCGGCCAGCAGGGAGAAAAGAAACCAGGGATGCGCCGACGTATCGGCCGAAACATGGCTCTTTCGGCATTATGCCAAAAGTGCAATTTTCGGCCGATATGTTTTGGCGGCCGATATATCGGTGCATCCCTAGTTCCTACGCTCTGTAAAACGCTCAACATGGGAAAACCAATGATTGCCTATGGGCATGGTTCCCACCTGGGCGTTTTACAGCGCGTAGGAACGCGCTGCACAATGCCCTAATGCGGAAACGCGCGTTTGTCGCGAATCACGGTAAAAACGTGCGGCACGAAACGCGCTACAAACACGCATATTCGATACGCCGAGGTGTGAACCCAGCCTTAGCCTGAGAAAACTACTAAATATCTCCCCTTCTCCAGAACATAAGTGGGAGATGATCGATTATTTATAGAAGTAACATGGACAAGGCTGATAACACTGCACTGTCTACTAGAATGTGTACTGGACTGCACTGAATTTCTTAAGGAATCAAAAAGGT